AATATTCTGGTTGAACAATAATAACTAAACCTCACAAAAACCACACAATTAAGGCTCCAAAGTAATCGCCTATTACAATTAGCATGCCATAATGACTTATTAATACAAATGTTTTGACCAAATTACAATCCATAAGTCAAAAGTTATTAAATTGACTATTTATATATAACCTTTTTCTCTTTCCTTAATCATACACAGACTTTAAATTCAACTGAAAATCTTAAACGGCCGAATCACATTTGTTGACAAACGGTCTGTCATAAAAATACTAACAGCAGCAGTGCAGAAATTACTTTTAACTGAGGGAATTAATACAATTTAAAGAGACTACTTATACAGAGCATGATGTGCTGGTTGATAATCCTTTTATTTAATTAATATTTCCATAATCATTTACGTCAATTTGTTGCCCTCTTTAAATGTTTGCTCTTTTTTGATTGAAAGTTACTGAAATAAAAGCGCCACTTGTCATACTCACTTAAATGATACCACTTTTGGGATCTGTCTAAAGTAGGACAGCTCTGAGGCTAAATTAGCTATATGATAGATTGATAAATTAACATGGGATCATTAGCATAATCAGGAGCTGCGCATCAAATCCTCCCCTGCAGATATGGAGAGTGCGGGCAGAGAATCATGTAATAAGTCTGCCTGATTAAAACTCTTTCTGTAAACTATTGTAGCTAGGTGCTACATTTGATGAACTGTGAATTAAAGATGAATATGTTTATGCCTGTGCGGAATCAAAATCATCTGAATCATTTCAATGAATTGAAAGTCACAAATATTGCAGCAAATGTGGAATGGCAGCTGCACAAGAAGATGTTGCACTGGGGGTCTGTGTAGACGAGTACATCTAGATGTCAGTGAACTGTGTGGAGGTCAGCACCATCCAGAATCCGGCCGGTGTTTACAGGCTGATTACACCTAACTGTAGCACTTTGGATCTGTTCCAAGGAGTTATAGAGATTTTAGATAGCGGCTCTCAGCCAGCCCTGTGCACGGCTGCTAAATGGATTTAAGAACAGGATGTGATTACAGGATTCTGGCTTCCACGATTTCTTTGTTAGAGTCCTCCTGCTTAACAGAACCAACTGAGGATAAAAAAATTGGAAAACTATATACTACCAATAAGTCAGCCATGTCTCACCAATATTCTGTCCAAGAACTGATTTATTCTGGTAACACACACCTTGTGCTCCTAAAATGATCAATACATTATTGAATTTATATGAAATTAGATGGCTGTTATACCATACAGTACCATAACACATCTCCTGCAATGAAAACATTTCCATATTTGGGAAAATGCCTTCTATATTTATTGTATTGCCAATTTTTCTTGAAATAATGCTATAATATATCTCTGATCGCTTTAGTGCAATGCAAAACAATTTGAAAAATGTGCATTACAGAATTAATGTAAGTAACTGTCAGTGGAATCAATAGTGTTGGACCTGAATAATGCAGACAAATAGTAGTTTGTAACAGTTGATTTAAGGTTCAAGGTACAATATGGTGTTTTGCTTTAACTCAGAGAGTTGCTCTGTTTAGGCCTTTGATGGATATTATAAGAAAGAAATATTGTGCTTGAAAAAACTAAATAAGCCTCAATGAAAGTAAAATGTGCAAATATTGGGTGTCCTTTCATTAGATTCGATTGAAAACCTAAACCACCTCATCACTCTTTGATGCACATGTTGCTGCTCTATGAATAGTGTACGGAAACATATGACAACACATGTTTCCCATTTCAAATTAGTGAATAAAGTGAGGACAAAAACATAAATGTATTTATTTAATTTATATATCTCTTATGAGGAACAAGCAGGGCCGGTTCTAACCAATTTGCTGCCCGAGGCAACATTTTAGCTAACCCCCCCAGCCTGACATTATTACTATGGAAAATATAAAGATCAATAGAGTATCCAAGGAATACACAATATAATATATAAAGAATAAATCTCTACAAAATATCAATACACTACAAAAACAGAAACGTATTGGCATAGGTTACATAAAGAGGACTTCAAATGTATTCAGTATGGTATGAACATGTTTTAATTAGGGGGTAGACGTCACATACTCTAGGGGGGTCCGGGGGTATGCCCCACCGGGAAGAAATGTTTAAACAATTTAAAGTCAAATGCTTCAATCTGGTGCACTTTGAGCACCCATATGAAAAAGATCGGTTTACATTTTAATAATCAAATAAATATGTGAACATAACCAATAACCTACCATAGCCAATAACAAATAAATGTAACGTATTTTCATTTTGTTGTTCATTTATATCTTATTTTACCTAGTTAACAGTTATTTATTTATGCATTTTTTTTTAATCTCTCCAGTTTTAAACGATATTTTTGCTTTACTGTCCTATAGTATACACTGGAATGATTTCAAACCTGTTTTTATTTATCCTAATAATTATAGAGGTGTGCCTTGGAAATATTTGTTTACATAAATTGTGATCAAAACGTTTGAGACCCACTGAGATAACTTAGACTAAAGTTAACTATCTAAACTCTCAGAGAGTCCTTTACCTCTCAGTCTGACAGGAGAGGACTCTCCCTCCACCTTGTTGTAAAACAGCTTCTTATATCCGTTAGCGCAGCTAGCACCAGATGCTAACAACAACAATCCCCGGGACCGGTGTGCCTTCTCTCTCTCTCTCCCTCGCTCGCACGCTCACTCGCACGTTCACTCGCACGTTCACTCGCACTTTGGCTGTGAGCTGCGGGCGCCAGATAAGCCAACATCCCCCACTTTCATCACTTACAGCGCCCATCGTACAGGGCAAATGAAAAGTGTAACCGGGGTGAAAAGGGTGTTACCTTTACTTAATTATGAGTGTTGTTACATCAAGGCCGAAAATTAGGATGAGCCCAAACAGTCAAAAAAGATAGTTTTCCCTCCCAGAGCTACCAGCGAAGCGCCCCCCCCCCAGATCTGGTGCCCTATGCCAAAAACCGGCCCTTAAGACATATAATGAATCAGTCTGTTGGCTTGACAGTCATTGTTCTAACTATAAATGTAAGCAAAATCTGCTTAAACATAAATAGAATTAGAGGATGAAACCCTCTTTAGTTGTCACACATACATGCACACAGCACACACAGTGACCTTTGACCTCTGCATTTAACCAATCCTAGTACAGGAGCAGTGGGCAGCTATTGTACAGCGCCCAGGGAGCAATGGGGAGTGGGGGGGGAAAGGGGGTGTCCGGTGCCTTGCTCAAGGGCACCACGGCAGGGCCCAGGAGGTGAACTGGGACCTCTCCAAGTACCAGTCCACAGTCCATATTTAGGTCTGTTCGGGGACTTGAACCGGCGACCCTACGGCTCACAGTCCAAGCACCTACAGACTGAGCCACTGCTGGACTTAGGCAAAGAAAGGTCACCTATTATGCAAATGCACTTTTTGATGTATTTTATACATAAATACTGTATGTGTCCCCTGTGAGTAAGGAGACTCACAAAGTGTCAGAAAATACAACCCTCTCTCTTTTCCTCCTTACCCACATCTCTAAAAACGGGGGTGCAACAGAGCTGATCCAGATTTGCTGCGGTCATGACGACATTACTAATGGCGCATTTCCACTACACGGTCGGCCTCGGCCACACTCGGTACGGCTCGGTACGGCTTGGCCGCGTTGGGCCTTAACAGGGCCGACTCACTTCATGCTGCGCTTCCATTACAGTTTAGGAACTGGGGTAGTTACTATAGTAACGCAGTGTAGGCGGAGCCGTGACGTCATCTTCAATGAGAAATCCAGAAACACAACACAGCCGTTAGCTGTGAGCACTCAGAGCTCACAGCTCCTTATATATGTTCAGAAACTCGACAAAAGTTAAACAAGTACACACCACAGACTGCCTGTGTCATGGTGAATACAGTCGCTGCCTTATTTATGTCTGTATAGGCCGTTGTTGTGAGTGTGGACGGTCGGGGCATATACTGCGTTAGCTTAGCCAATCTCCATCTAGAAAAACACGCATTTTAAAAGGTTTTTCCCCTGCCGTCTGTCTGCAGACTTGACAAAGCATTAATTCATGGTTTTTACTAACCGGTATCAGTATGTTGTTACTTCGGCATCATTTTGAAACGTGTATTACAATTAAATCACGGTCAAATATGTCCATCTTGTTGTAGTTCTAGCCCTCTTGCCAGCGCTCCTCTCTCTAGTTTAGCATACTCAGCCCGACTCAGCCCTGTTTGTTGGCCCCGATAGAACCACAATTTTCTAGGGCCAGAAAAGAGGGGAAAAAGTGGCCCCGCGCCGTGCCGCGCCGGAACGAGGCCTAGTGGAAGCACAACCAAAAAAGGGGACGGCACGACACGGCACGCTTAAAGCGAGCTACGCGCTGCAATGGAAATGCGCCATTAAAGTATCTGAGTTTCAGGGGCGTGGCCAGCAGCAGCTCCAAAGGGGCGTGGCCAGCAGCAGCTTGGTTACATTTAAAGGGCCAGACCCAGAATCAGCACTTTAGTAACAGGGCTGAAATAGAGGGGTATGAGGCATGCTACAATGGGTGATCTGTTTGGTATATTGAGCAGAACACTTAAGGGTCATATTTTGTATAGATATGGCCCTATAATATATTGTTCTAATATAGCATAATAGGTGAGCTTTAAGATGGTCTTTTTTTAGATGGCTGACTTCCCTATCATGTTTCCTATAGTTCAGTAAAAAGGAAAATGTGAAGTTCGCATTTTTGCATGTCATTACCGCATTGGAAATATAAAATGGGAAATGCAGTTGTTTTTGGAACAAACATAATGGCAGTAGCAGCAGCAGCATGTTAATTACAGCTAGACCTGATTGCCTGGCTGACCTCCTGGTCACCCCCCCCACACAGTAATGAGCTCCCTGGGCAGCACAGACAGCCATGACTGAAACCATAACCACCAAACCTGCTGTGACACTTATTGAGTGTTTAACAGTGGAAGCCTCTTGTCTCTCATTTAACACACTCTGTCTTTTTCTTGTCTTGCAGTTGGAAAGACGTCTCTGATCACCCGGTTCATGTATGACAGCTTTGACAACACGTATCAGGTAGGTCCTACGGCAGAGTGAATATATTTGGTTGCAGTTGAATAGTCATCAGGACATAGGAAAAGAGAGTACAGTGCCAAGAGGATTACACTGCACTGAGTGACGTTATTGTGAAGTGCGTCTGCCTTTGTCAAACTACAATTTTACCTACACTGACTACTAAAAGCACATCTTGATATTTTCCCCCAGTGTTGTATTCAAGTCACCAATTCATGAGTCCAAGTCACTCTCGAGTCCCCACTTTTCGAGTCCGAGTCCAAGTCCGAGTCACCCAAGGAGTGTCCGAGTCAAGTCTGACTCATCATTACCTGTGTTCGAGTCCGAGTCCAAGTCACCCAAGAAGAGTCCAAGTCCGAGTCACAAGTCTTCATGTATTAATCTTCATGGATATATTTGTTGAAATGTAGCTGTAGCTCCTCTACATTGCTTTTATCCTGTCATGTTATACTAATATGTCTATTGAACTGCTGTGAAGCCAGTTTGGCTACAATTCTTGTATAAAAGGTGCTATACAAATATAAAGCTTATTACTAATATTAATATTATTATTATTATTATTATTGTAAATGACCTTTAATATGTCTAACTATATTTAAAATTAGTTACCTTTTAGAGAAGTGATTATATTTGTATGCCAATAATTTCCTATGGTAAAGTTTTCGATTTGCACTTTTATTTTGATAGTAATAAGATCGGGACTCTTATTTTGAAGGAACTTTTACCAGAAGTCAATGGACAACGGAGTAGTGTAAACACACATGTATAATGACGGACAGATGACAAATAAATTAACATATATTAAATAGTTACATTGTGAGCATTTTGCGCCGGTCTTTCCCAATGTCTAAGCAGAATCTGTGAAAGCATAGAGTACGATGCAGGGTGTGTGTCTGGACATCTTTAGACTGGAATAGCGGGGGGGGGGGCCCAGTACGTGAACTCGCCTCGCAGGTACACACGCCAGGACAGAGTACATCTGACTCGAGACAAAACTTGCTCGAATCCGAGTCAATGTACAAGTCGAGTCCGAGTCATCGTGGGTGAAAAATTCACGTGTCAGAGTCATCGTGCGCGAGAATTCACGAGTCCGAGTCAGAGTCATCGTGCGTGAGAATTCACGAGTCCGAGTTTGAGTCCGCGTCAATCAGTGCGTGAGTCCGAGTCGAGTCTAGAGTCTCGAAAATCGGCACTCGAGTACTCCATCTCTGTTTTACCCTTTGCATTCTAATAATGTTGTTTCATGCAGTTTATGTAAACAGTGAATATTTTTATTTCATTATCAAGAAACAGGCAGTGGTGACTCGTCATTAGGGGCAGGTGGGGCACAGGTGATTCGTCTGTACATTGCTGTTTTAGTCTGCGTTCTTCCAATTAGTGTCCACAGTGTGCCTATTGAGCCGTGTTGAGCAATGTGGGGCAAGCCCCTCTCTCTGCTATCTAAATGAATGGGTGCTGTAAAAACTACACTGCGCATGCTCAGAGTATTTTTCTATTCAATGTGTGCGGCAAAAAAATAATCACCAGTGGGGCAAAGTGCTGGCATACCTACCAAACGTCATCTCATAATTCAGAGAGCTGATTGGCTGTAAGTACGTGGGCTGCGAAAAGTGTAGTTTTCACCCTGTAGTGAAGAGGAGACGAGAGAGAGCAGCGTATAGCGATTAAAATCAGTAAAACGGAAAGAAAATGAATGAAGTTGACCATCTACTTCAGCTTTGGTAAGTTCATTGTATGTCATATATTTTGTTGATCTTTTGTGTTTTGCCTATAGGCTATTGCTCTGCTGGATCGATTGATATTGTGACCTCGGTGATGAGTGTCTGTGTTTTCCTTATATCCACCCCCCCCCCCCCCTCTCTCTCTATCGGAACCATGGATAGCCTACAGCTATTTGTTTACGTCTTTAAAAAAAGCACCAGAAGCTTATATATACACATCTAAGGCTGCCTTTACACGGGAACGTTTGCGTTTACGCACCGTATGCGTTTTCAAAAAAGTATTCCGTTCACACGCATTCGATTCATTTAACGTGTCTGTTCACACGAGACCGCTCGACCCGCTGGACACGCTGTAGTACATATGCCAGGCCTGTAAGTGGCGCTGCTGCCGCCACAAAATACACCAAAAGCAGCGAAGAAGACCCCGGAGCATGGTTGCCATGGTTGCCCTTCTGTTTATGCCCCGCGGTGGATTTAGCAACATGTAGTAGTTCATGTAATTCTCCATGTCCACTTGTTGCTGATGGTTGTGGTAGAGGAGCTGTACATTTTGCACTAACATCTGTAGCATGGTCGAGCTGTAGATGTTGTACTAACATCTGTAGCATGGTCAGTAGCAGTAGCACTAGCAGTAGCTTCTGACAGTAGCTACTGGCCATGCTACAGCAGTGAGCAGCAGAGGTGGGGAGAGGCGGGGCTATGGCTTCATCTATCGGGAAATATTCGTATAGAGGCGATTACACGGAGCCGTTTGACCCCCCAGAGCGTTTCGTTTGCAAATCTATCCACCTTGGGACCCGTTATCGTTTGTGGGGTCCGTTTCTATCGTTTTGTTACGGCCTCGTGTAAATGAAAGGGCTATACGCAAGAGAAACTATGCGGATACAACCCGTTTCGTTCCCGTGTAAATGGGGTCTAAGTTGTTCGTGCCCCACCACTTTTGTACATATAAAAACGCCACTGGAAACAGGAACGGAAATAAAAAAAGGAAAGTGTAAGGAAATTATTGCTTGCACTCACCATACTGTTTCAATTGACATGAATCCAATTGTAATCCAGATTGTATTCAAATATTTGAATAGATAATACTTTATTCAATAGCTTCACAACTTGTTATGCCTACACAACTACTACTGTGCATATCACCATTCAAACAAGAAACACCACCCAACTCGGTAACACTGTGAAATGTCATTCAAATCGTAAATCATTATGTCATGAACATAACATATGTTCTTCTACGGTAAAATTATTTATTATTATTCCGCCGCGTTTTTTGTTACCTTCTCCTCCCCTTTCCACATCGCAGAAACTCTGTTCAAACATCAAAACATTCAGCTTGATTAGAACATGTGCTCTATAACTTTTCACATTCATAACTTTCATAATTCTAGAGATAACTTCTCCTTCATACTCTCACTCAGAAACCTCATTCCAGCTTTCTGACATTATTTGTAATACCCAACTTCAGAATCAGATTTATAGTTTTTGAAATATCAAACATAGTTTGGAGCTTGGTAAAGAGGCCTTCTTCAGATTTTAAAGGAGAGGTGTCATGCTTTTCCGGTTATTACCCGTCCCCTTGTGTGTTATGAAGGTTTTTATGCATGTAAACAGTGTGCAGAGTCAAAACCCTCAAAGTACACCCTGTAGCGAGTAAAACTCTAACACAGAAAATACCTCCCCAAAACGCCTCGTTGGAGATACGTCATTGTCCATTTGATTCTTCCGGGACGGCATGATGTCAAGCCGTACCCGGAACGAAATGGACCAATCCGTGGAGCCGTTACGTTACGTCCGCGGAGCCGTTACGTTAAGCCCCTGCTGATTGGTCCAAATTGACCAATCCACGGACTTCCTCACACACACATCTGTGTGCAGGGAGCAGGCAGCTCAGCTGATTTCTCCTCCCTGGCTGCAGGCTGATAACAGACAGTTGGGATCGCTGCAAAATTCTCTCTGCAGACCCATTCTCACAGCGTTTATCAACCTTTTTCTTACTCAATATCAAGACACACTTATTGTTTTTACTTCGGCTGTGAGTTTGTGTGTGCTCAGGATGAGTTTGGCTGTGTTTCGCTATGTATCCTAAACAAGGAAACAACACCTCCACGGAGCTCAGCGCGATTCACAACGTCCCGACCAATCAGAGCACACTGTGCTCACAGGGAGGGTGGGGGCTGGAGCTATTGGAGCTACAACGAGCCGTTAAAGGCAGAGAGTGAAATTCAGTGAATACACGTAGTTTACAGAGATGCTGTATGAGAAACCAATGTGAGTTTGGAAAAATGCACAGTATAAATCTATTCTAGTCGACCTCAACAATGTAATTATGATCAGTGGAAATGGCCATGACACCTCTCCTTTAACATTAGTGTATATTGCGCCGCTCCTTGAGTCTAGAGTGCTTTGATCTCAAAACAGAGTGGAGTAAAGCTTGAAATTCACCTAACAAAACAACTTTAAGCATGCCATAAGTCCCAAACCATACACTCCTGAGACATCATTTTTATGAAAAACGTAGGAAAACCTATCAAGACATGAAAAATACCATGCTTGAAGCAAAGAACAAAAAAAAAAGTCCCTCTTGAAGGCAAGAATGTGTCAAAAACTTTTCACAGCTCCTAATTCAGCCCGATTGTAAATGTAGCCTCATCTTTCCACCAGCTGCACACCTTCAGATAAACTACCAAAGGAGCCCCATTATTGACCCCAACGTACACAAAAAGCACACTAAAACGCTCATCAGGGATCTGATATGCTCACAGCGTAGACATTTTTACGATAGCAGCTACCGTTTTTTAACAATAGACAGAAATGTGAGAGGTTTATCTCTCATTCAGAACAATGGAAAGGCTCTATCGCTTTAAAGGAGCCAGCCACAGTCCCACCTGTTTACCAGGTGTGACTGTGGCTCTTTGGTGGTGTGTCAGTCTTTCAATTAGAAGGTTGTGTTTGATTCCATGTCTTGCAGTCAAGATGTCATTATATTCAGGGGTGCACATAACTGGTACGCAGGTACGCATGCACGGCAAACATCTGAAATGCGTACCGTCACTTGTGTCACTAAGCGCCTTTGCGTACCGACGGACTTGTGAAGCTTTTCCAGAAGGCGCTAAGATCACTGGACGACAGAGTCGGTCGCCGTGTGCACAGACGGGGCTGCTGTTAACGTTGGTGTGTACAACAGAATTGTGCCAAAACTACGCCAACTGGCTGCGGAAGGAGACTCCCCTCTGCACATTCTGTGTCGACGTTCGCGACACAGAGGGCTTCATCACA